TGATCACAAATTAGTTAGCATAAATCAGTTAAATGACGAAAAATTAGGTGTCTATTTACTTGTGACCACTCAATGTACATTTAGGAGTCTCTTATTCTGTCCAGAAGACGCCAATTATAGTACAAATACTTGGTATGTCCAAAAGACACTTTCTATAGGATACGTGCAACAGCCTTGCGATATGTCAAGCGAACACGACAAAGAACAATTATTATAAAACTCTTCGGTGTGTTCATGGATTAGGAACTACAGCCTTTCGATATATCCAGTAGACATGATGATATGTCCACCAGGCACTGAGTACAGTGCACAACTGGTAGTTTCCCGATCTGTCCATTAAACAGAAGGTATAAGGCATAACAATACCTAAATATGTTTATCTATCATGATTAGCCAACTAGTAATTTCTCTGTCTATTCAACAGAGATCCGGTGTAGCACATAACTGGTGATATCTCGATATTTCCGTCAGACACATTGTATAATGCATGACTAGACCACTAGTAGTTTCTCTGTATGTTCAACAGACACCCGGTATAGCATATAACTGGTGGTACCTCGATATGCCCATAAAACACAGAGTATCATGTATGATTGTTAGTATCTCGATATGTCTAACAGAATTAGATATGGTTTTAGTAATAGAAACTTAAATCATATATAACAAGACAATTATCAATCTTCTGATGATTTAAAAGTACACAAAAGTACAATATAAGTTTAATTGTTAAAATCTTTGCTGGAAAAAGAACAGCTTTATATAGCATTAAAGTCATAAAAATAAAAACCTTTTAAGCCCAGACGCTAGCCCATTCTATCTTTGATAGTACCATAAACTTTCTCGTGCTAGGTGAAGAGAAACCAAAGTTTCTGAACATCCCGGGTTATCTTTCAAAGGCCAAGGATCCCTCTTGGAGCCTGAAAGTTTTAAAACCTAAATTCCTGCCAATAATTTTGGTTTGGTTTATCAGTTACTTGGTAAGCCTAACAATGGTTAATATGTGGTGGAAATTTTCACTTTTTGATTACGTACATTAAAAATGGCAATAACCATTGGAATAGATTAGAATCAAGACATCAATTTCGTATTGTTATATCTTTCAATTATTTATTCACAGGCACTTAAAGAAAGTCACATAAAATCCTCTGTCATTTCTACCCACACAGTATTAGATAATCAGTATACGCAGACGAAAACGTTAGTGATATGACCACACATCCAAATGCTTCCAGATATCTATACATACACCAACGTAGTTCATCAGAGCACACATCCACACCAGCGTAGTTCATCAAAGCACTCATCCACACCATTAGAGCATACGCTCATAAAGCCTTCAGACATACGTGTACACACCAACGTAGCTCATAAGACCACACGTCCTCAAAACCTTGATATATCCATGCACACATCTACGTATTTCTTCAGATCATACACCCATAAAGCTTTCAGGCATCTGTTACGCGCACACAGACCAAGCTCCAAGTCTTTTGGGTACACTTACATAATAACATTAAGTTGGCTACCCAAGAATGCAGAAACTATCTCACTACACTCATAAAACGTGTGTGAAAGGAGTTACGTTTAGACACAACATACTATCTGCGCATACACATTCAGGTTATCCAGTCATTTGTAGACATGCACATCACGTACAGGGTCGTTAATTGTCTCTAAACATGCACGCGCACACGGGATCTTCAGTCATCTGTATACATAGGGTCCTGTATATATTTGCATAATGATTTCAAGCATGCGCGGTTTTAAGTAATCTATACACGAAGTTGAGGTTTTCAGGCATAACATAAAGATAATCGGTCTGTTGAAAGCACATGATCACCATTTGAATAATCTCTATGTACAAACACTAACTTTTTAATTTACCCGAAGAAAAACAAACACATAAACATAGTCTTCAGTCTGTTGAGAGCACATAATCATCATTTGAATAATCTCTATGCACAAACACTAACTCTTAATTTA